ACCTCAGGTGGCCTCCCTGGGCTTGCATGCCCTTGTGATCTACCTTCCCCAAACCCTCAGCCAACACTGATTCACCTGTTCCATTACTCTGCTGTGGAGGCTGCTGGAGGCCCAGCCATCCTCACGGGTGTATTTTCTGCTAATGGCCCAGGATACAGCTAAATATCCTATGACACAGAAGACAGCCCTTAAAAAAAATATTTTTTATCAGGTCCCAAATGTCAATAGTGCTAGGTTTCAAATGGAGAACAAAAGCAATTTCCTTCATTATAAAATCCCCTAACCTGATCAAAGGTCAGGACAGACATGCCATTCCAGACATTATGATGATAAACGTCAGGCTGCTGCTGCTTTTTTTTTTTTTTTTTTTGACAGATAAGAGTTACATAGTGAGAGAGAGAGAGAGAGAGACAGAGAGAAAGGTCTTCCTTCCATTGGTTCATCCCCCAAATGGCCGCTACAGCCAGAACTACGCCAATTCGAAGCCAGGTGCTTCTTCCTGTTCTCCCATGCGGGTGCAGGGGCCCAAGCACCCAGGCCATCCTCCACCGCCCTCCTGGACCACAGCAGAGAGCTGGACTGGAAGAGGAACAATCGGGACTAGAACCTGGCGCCCATATGGGATGCTGGCGCCACAGAGGATTAACCAAGTGAGCCATGGCGCCAGCCCCAAATGTCAGGCTTTTACATGTAAGTATGAGTAACTTGTAGACAATTCTGGACTAATGTATTTGTAAATGTCAATAGTAAATCATAAATTATCAACACTGGCTCAAGAAGACAGTGAAATTGAACAACGCCTTTAACACAAAGAACTGTTAAAGGTCTCTTCTCTACCTCCAACTGGCTCAGGTAGCTTTATAGGGAGATATTTTCCAAACGTCCAAAGAACAGATAACTGCTTGGCTGTCCAGAATGTTCTACCTCAGAGAGAAAGAACAGCCTCTACTTTTAGTAACCAGGTATGATCTAGTTCCCAAATCTTAACAAAAATGGGGGAGGGGGATATGGAGGGCAACCATTTATGAATATAGGTACCAATATCCTAAACATATCCACAAAAACAATCCAGGAGGACTTAAAAAGAAATTTAAAATGCCGTATCTAACCAAGATTATAAGAATGGGGGCAGATGGAGCAGGGTAAGCTACTGCTGAGGACTCCTACATCCCATATTAAGAATGTCAGCTCGGGGCGGCCGCCGGCAGCGCCGGCATCCCATGTGGGCACCAGTCCAAGTGCCGGCTGTTCCACTTCCTATTGAGCTCTCTGCTATGGCCTGGGAGAGTACAAGATGGCCCAAGTTCTTGGGCCCCTGCACCTGTGCAGGAGACCCAGAGGAAGCTCCTGGCTTCTGTTTGGCGCAGCTCCAAATTGTTGCGGCCAACTGGGGAGGCCTCTCTCTCTGCATCTGCTTCTCTGTGTAAATCTGACTTTCAAATAAAATAAATCTTTTTTTTTTTAAAGATTTATTTTAGGGGCCGGGGTCATGGCGCAGTGGGTTACTCCTCCATCTGAGGCACCGGCATCCCACATGGGCACCAGTTCTAGTCCCAGCTGCTCCTCTTCCAACCCAGCTCTCTGCTATGGCCTGGGAAAGCAGTGGAAGATGCCCCAAGTCCTTGGGCCCCTGCATCCGCATGGGAGACTGGGAAAAGGCACCTGGCTCCTGGCTCCTGATCGATACAGCTCCAGCTGCTGCGGCCATTTGAGGAGTGAAGCAACGGAAGGAAGACCTTTCTCTCTGTCTCTCCTTCTCACTGTCTGTAACTTTACCTCTCAAATAAATAAAATCTTTTTTAAAAAAAAATCCTTTTTTTTTTTTGAAAGACAGAGTTACAGAGAGAGGCAGAGACAGAGAGAGAGAGAGAGAAAGGTCTTCCATCCGCTGGTTCACTCCCCAGATGGCCGAAATGGCCGGAACCAGGAGCCAGGGGCCCAAGGACCTGGGCCATCTTCTACTGCTTTCCTAAGCCATAGCAGAGAGCTGGATCGGAAGGGGAGCAGCCGGGACTAGAACCGGTGCCCATACGGGATGCTGGTGCTTCAGGCCAGGGCCTTAACCCGCTGTGCCACAGCGCTGGCCCCAATAAATAAAATCCTTAAAAAAAAAAAAGAGTGCTAGCTCAGGTCCCGACTGCTGTGTTTCTGATCCAGTTTCCTGCTAACATGCGTGGGAAGCAGCAATGACAGCTTACACACTTGGTCCCAGCCTCCACATGGGAACCCAGATGGAGTTTCCAGGTACCTGGCTTTGGCCTGACCCAGCCCTTCCTCTAGCAGGCACTTGGGGAGTGATCCAGGGATGGAAGATCTCGCTCTTCTTATTCTCTCTCTCTCTCTCTCTCTCTCTGCCTTTCAAATAGATAAATAAATCTTAACAAATATGTACGAATGACAGGGCCAGCGCTGTGGCATAATAGGTTAAGCCTCTGCCTGCAGCACCAACATCCTAAATGGGTGCCAGTTCAAGTCCCAACAGCTTCACTTCCAATCCAGCTCCCTGCTATGGCCTGGGATAGCAGCAGCGGATGGCCCAAGTGCTTGCGCCCCTGCATTGACATGGGAGGCCTGGATGAGGCTCCTGGCTTCAGACTGGCCTGACTCTGGCTGTTGCAATCATTTGGGGAGTGAACTAGCAGATAGAGGACCTCTCTCTCTCTCTCTCTCTGTAACTCTGCCTCTCAAATAAATAAATGGAAGGAAGGAAGGAAGGAAGGAAGGAAGGAAGGAAGGGAGGGAGGGAGGGAGGGAAAAAAAGGATTAACCATGGCAAAGCTGTGAATAAAAGAAATTGTGCTTAAAAAAAAAAATGTTGTGGGGCCAGCACTGTGGCGTAAAGCTGCCACCTGCAGTGCCAGCATCCCATATGGGTACCAGTTCTAGTCCCGGATGCTCCACTTCCCATCCAGTTCTCTGCTATGACCTGGGAAGGCAGTGGAAGATGACCCAAATCCTTGGGCCCCTACACACTGATATGGGAGACCTGGAAAAGTCTCCTGGCTCCAGATTTCAGATTGGTCCAGCTCTGGCCATTGTGGCCAGGTGGGGAGTGAACCAGTGGATGGAAGCTCTCTCACTGCCTCTGCCTCTGCCTCTCTGTAACTCTGCCTTTCAAATAAAATAAATCTTTTTTCAAAATAAAAAAAAATGTTGTACAACTTAGGTGAGAATCTGGTGACAACAAAAGCTATATATAAAAGATATATAAATGGCCGGTGCCGCGGCTCAATAGGCTAATCCTCCTCCATGCGGCACCGGCACACCGGGTTCTAGTCCCGGTCGGGGCGCTGGATTCTGTCCCGGTTGCCCCTCTTCCAGGCCAGCTCTCGGCTGTGGCCAGGGAGTGCAGTGGAGGATGGCCCAGGTGCTTGGGCCCTGCACCCCATGGGAGACCAGGATAAGCACCTGGCTCCTGCCTTCAGATCAGCGCGGTGCGCCAGCCGCAGCACTCCAGCTGCGGCAGCCATTGGAGGGTGAACCAACAGCAAAGGAAGACCTTTCTCTCTGTCTCTCTCTCTCACTGTCCACTCTGCCTGTCAAAAAAAAAAAAAAAAAGAAAAAGATATATATGAATGATTTAGTATTAGAAAAATAGTATAATTAATTATATAATTAGGTCAAAGAAGAAATATCATCTTGAAATATATAAAATTCAGCAATCATCTTTATTAGAGTAGGAAATAAATGCTTCTCTTTAAAGATCTTCTATTTGCACCAAGCACTGAGGTCTGGGTTGGACAGAAACTAAAGGAGGTCTTCAGAAGTCTTTCCACAGACTCAGGAGTGAAAAACAAACATTTGGGTGACTTTTCATCAGAGCAGAACCAAACCTAGAGTTTTGTTGGGTCTTAAGGAAAAATCCTCCTGCAGTGTTCTTTCTATTGAGGTTTATGGTGGATTACTGCAATATTGATTTGACCAGCATGAGGCTTAACACTGGACAAATGGCTTCTCTAAAGTCAGCCCTGATGCAGCGGGTTTGGAAATGACCTCAAACGTTTGTTTTGCAGAGTGAACCCTTCAGGACTCAATTGCACAGAACAGTGTAGGAGCTCACCCATCCTTGCTACTTGGGAAGGAAGCCAGATTCCACTGATCTGTTAGCTTTAAGTCAGTCAAATCAGAAAAGAGACGACGTTGCTGAAGAAAGAAATGGTCACACTGGCTCTGTATGTGTGGCACACTTAAATCTTACAGTTTTGTAATAGGGAATAAATAAATGGTTGAATTGGAAGAAAAAAAGATTTTTCTATTTAATACAGTTACATTCTCTAAGAAATATTTATTGATACTGTTTTATAACTTCAAACTTTCATCACAGTCATTTTGGAGATTTATTTATGTATTTGAAAGGCAGAGCTAGAGAGAGAAGGAGAGCAGAGAAAATGATCTTCCATCTGCTGGTTCACTCCCCAGGTGGTTACAAGAGCCAGGGCTGGGCCAGGCCAAAGCAGAGGCCTGGAACTCCAGCTGGGTCTCTCACATGTGTGGCAGGAGCCCAAGCACATAGGCCATCATCTGCTGCTTTCCCAGGTACATTAGCAGGGAGCTGGATAGGAAGTGGAACAGCCAGGACTTGAACCAGCACTCATATGGGATGTCTACATTACAAACAACAGCTTAACCCACTACACAATGCCACCCCCATCACAGTTTCTAAATTGCTGTAACTTTCATCCACACGGGATGCTGACACTTCACACTGGTTTAACAGAGGATTCATGGCTTTCCCACATTCGCACTACTCAAGCGTGTCTGCTTCTGTGTGAACCATTAAAATCACACCTACAGCACTTCTAGCACATCACACACATGAGACGGCCTCGTGGTATGGACTCAGTAATGCCAGGTTATGTTAACTCTGAAGGCTCTGACACAGCTGAGACATTGAAATGACTCTACAACACATAAGGATTCTGCTTCAAGTGACATAAAATCCAACCCAAATTACTTAAGCAAAAAGAAACACACACAAACCAACCCCCCCCCCCCCGCCCCCGGCCCCAGAATTTATTGATTCATCTCAGTGAAAAATCCAGAGGTGGGTTTAGCTCTCTCCATCTCTGCCACTTATAGTTCGACTATCTTCTCAGCCTTCCTGTGCTATCAAATTTAACATCCAAGAGAAGCAGGAAACTGCATGGTCACAGAGCTCATTCTCACTGGATGAACTACTGCAGAAGGAGGAGGGCAGATGCACCAGTCCGGGTCGCACACTCCACCCTTGCGAGGCAGAACAGAGCCTGAACTAAACCACAAGAACAGTAAGGTGGGGACCGTGATTTCCCAGAGAGACGTTACCAGGCAAATGGGGTAAAAAATGCCGGGAGTCCCAAATAGGCCAGGTCCAGCACAGGCTTCTCTCCTGAGTGGGCGTCCTGGTGACGCTGCAGCCGGGAGCACGTCCTAAAGGTCCTCCTGCACTTGCTACATGCGTAGGGTTTAGGCTTCTCTCTGCTGTGGGTTCTCTGATGCCTGCTTACTCTGGATGTAACAACGAAGGCTCTTCCACACTCACTACACTTGTAGGGTTTCTCCCCAGTGTGGATCCTCTGATGTATAACCAGCTGAGAACTACCGGGGAAGCCGTCGCCACACTGCTTGCAGAGGTAAGGCCTGTCCCCATTGTGGACCCTCTGATGCCTGGTCAGATTTGCGCTGTTACTAAAGGCCTTCCCACAGGCCTCGCACTGATAGGGCTTCTCGCCAGTGTGGATTCTCTGGTGTCTAATGTAGTAAGAAAAAAAGCTGAAGGATTTCCCACACTCCTCGCATTTGAAGGGCTTCCTTGCAGAGTGGACTTTCTCCCCCTTTCTTTCAGTATTTTTCACCGGGGGGACTTGCCGGTGCTGGCCCACTTCACTTGTCCCTGGAAAGTCAGTTGCCTGAGACGTGCTTATTGGCAGCCCGTGTGCCACTGTGAGGCCTCTTTCCTCAAAAATTCCATGTGTTGATGTGGCCCTCTTGGCGGTGCTGGTCTCTGCACCTGATATAAGAAGCAGAAAAAACTCAATCCAGGTCCTCCACTTGGGTAGCAGGAACCTAACCCCGGAACCTATCCCCTGCTGCCTCCCAAGATCCTCACTGGCAGGAATAAGCCAGAGTGAGGAATGGAACCCAGGCACAATCACATGAGACGTGGACATCCTAACTGACACCTTAACTGCTGGGCCAAAAATTCATGCCTGTGGCCAGGTTTTATGCCTTCTGTGCCTTTTTGCTCCTCAGTCAATCAAAGCCCACACTATGTCAAGTTGATATTTTGAAAACAGTCTTTATGTCTTTAGTGATAAGGCTGTTGTGATGGGTGTGTGGTGTCACTGTTCCTGCTTCATGCTCTGTTTAGCCTGATCACTTATTTCCTGTTTTCCTGTTCTGGTTTTGCCTGCTTTTTCATTTCCTATGTCCACACCTTAACTTCCTTAAGACAGAACTCTTCAGGTCTACCTTAACTGAGTTCTGGATTTGCCACTTACACTGATTAATTTACAGAGTTGGCTTAGTACATTCTGCAGCGGAGCAGGCTCTCCAACAGAAAGATGATGAGGATTTTCAATGCAAGCCAAGCTGTGTAATTTTAGATATTCTGGTAGCTATATTCAAAAAGTAAAGATAAAATGGTAAAATTAATTTTAATAATATATTTTAACTCAATATATCCAAAGTAGTGTCATTTATCATTTCAACATATGATCAATGTAAACATTGTTTAGATAATTTACATTTTTGTACTTAGTCTTCAAAAGGTGTGCATTTTATACTTTTAGCACATGTCCATTTGAACCAGCCTCATTTCAAGTACTTAACAGTTTACTAAGCACATGTAGCTGGCACCCACCATATTAGCACACAGCAGCACAAACAACAAACTCCTGCATAAGCGCTCAGTCCTCAACTGTAAGCTCTTCAGTGCTTAATAGGAAAGACAAAAGAATGAATGCTCACAGGTGGGCTCTACAACTATCCAGTTAAAATGCACTCCCCAGATTCTCCCCCACACTAAATCATAAAGCTCTTCATAATTATATATGTGATACATAGGATAGGTGTGTAGTGTCACTGTGGTTTCAAATTGCATTTCCTGATGGCTATAGGAGTTGAACATCTTTTTTTTTTTTTTTTTTTTTTTGACAGGCAGAGTGGACAGTGAGAGAGAGAGACAGAGAGAAAGGTCTTCCTTTGCCGCTGGTTCACCCTCCAATGGCCGCCGCTGCAGCCGGCGCACCGCGCTGATCCTGGCAGGAGCCAGGAGCCAGGTGCTTTTTTCCTGGTCTCCCATGGGGTGCAGGGCCCAAGCACCTGGGCCATCCTCCACTGCACTCCCTGGCCATAGCAGAGAGCTGGCCTGGAAGAGGGGCAACCGGGACAGAATCCGGCGCCCCAACCGGGACTAGAACCCGGTGTGCCGGCGCCGCAAGGTGGAGGATTAGCCTATTGAGCCACGGCGCCGGCTTGAACATCTTTTTACACATCAATTTGCCATCTGTATTTCCTCTCTGCTGAAACATCTGTTCATTCCTTTTGCACATTTTCTAACCGGATTATTTGTCTTTACTGGTGAGTACTAGTCCTCTGTCTCGTAGTATATTATCTCAGAAGTTATATTAGGTCTTATGTTCCCTTCCTTGAGCCAGGCCATCTTTCTTCCCACTCCATCCTGCAAAATAGTCTCTCTTTTTTTTAAGATTTATTTATTTGAAAGGCAGAGAAAGGGAGAGAGAGACCTTCCATCCACTGGTTCACTCCCCAAATGCCCACAACAGCCAGGGCAGGGCCAGGCCAAAGCCAGGAGCCAGGAACTCCATCCTGGGTTTCCACAAGGGTGGCAGGAACCCAGGTACTTGAGCCATCACTCACTGCCTCCCAGGCACATTAGCAGAAAGGTGGATGGGAAAAACACAGCAGCTAGTACTCAAACTGGTGCGCCAATCTGGGATGCAAGCGTCCCAAGCAGCTACTTCACCGGCTGACACAGTGTCCACCACTCTAAGACATGCTCATCTGTGGGGCTAAGAAGAAATGGCCGTGATCGTGCCTGATCTTCTAAACTGGAATTACCTTATCCTTGCACTGTGCTCCCCCAGCCTACTGCTCATACAGTACATCAACAACAGCAATGAACACATCCTCTACTTCTTAGCTCTTCATGTCTATCTCTACAACCAGTATCCTCCCGAGCTTCTTCTTCTTCTTCTATTTTTTTTTTTTTTTTTTTTTTTTTTTTTTTTTTTACAGGCAGAGTGGACAGTGAGAGAGAGAGAGACAGAGACAAAGGTCTTCCTTTTGCCATTGGTTCACCCTCCAATGGCCGCTGCGACCGGCGCGCTGTGGCCGGCATACCGCGCTGATCCAAAGGCAAGAGCCAGGTGCTTCTTCCTTGTCTCCCATGGGGTGCAGGGCCCAAGCACCTGGGCCATCCTCCACTGCACTCCCTGGCCACAGCAGAGAGCTGGCCTGGAAGAGGGGCAACCGGGACAGAATCCGGCGCCCCGACCGGGACTAGAACCCGGTGTACAGGCGCTGCAAGGTGGAGGATTAGCCTAGTGAGCCGCGGCACTGGCCCCGAGCTTCTTAAACTAATTCTTGCACACAGCAATTGCTCAGAAACCGCTGACCTGATGAGGGGCTGCAGTAGCCAGCCCTACACCTGCTCCCTTACCTTTGAGGCTGTCTCTTGTCCTCCCTGCAGGGGCGTCATCCTTTGCCTCCAGGTCCCTCGGCAACTCCCCTCTTTCCAGAAGCGAGATCAGGGAAAGTTTGCAAACTGGGTACCCTGAAAAGGGAGGGAAACATGGAGCTCCTGGGGAGGAGTCTCACATTAGTGTCCCTAAGGCCCCCTAAGGCCTCATGTCCGCAGCATCAAGAGGAGGAAATGCCAGAGTGGCTCAGTAAGGACAAAGCCCATAGACATAGGCTGCAGCATGGCAAGGCCCAAGCAGATTTTGATCCAAAAGAAACAGAACCTTCAAGGCCGGCACGTGGCTCACTTGGTTAGTCCTCTGCCTGCGGCACTGGCATCCCATATGGACGCCAGGTTCTAGTCCTGGTTGCTCCTCTTCCAGTCCAGCTCTCTGCTGTGGCCTGGGAGGGCAGTGGAGGATGGCCCAAGTGCTTGGGCCCCTGCACCTGCATGGGAGACCAGGAAGAAACACCTGGCTCCTGGCTTCAGATCAGCACAGCACCAGCCGTAGCAGATATTTGGGGAGTGAACCAATGGAAGGAAGACCTTTCTCTCTGTCTCTCTCTCTCTCTGTCTATAACTCTACCTGTCAAATAAAAAAAAAAAAGAAAGAAAAAGAAACAGAGAACTTTCGACCTCTCCCTAAAATGTCATTCAGAGAGCTTGCAAGCATCACCTTGTAAGACACACACAGGTCAAGGGACGCACTGAGGAAGTCTTCCTTAGACCACTGAAAGGGCTGAAGGAAGCCAAGAACTGCAGCTGGGGATGCTTCTCCCGCACTGGGTCCTGCACAGAACCCCTTAGGGTGCGAAGTACTTTCACCAGAATGCAGAAGAAACCACATTAGTTTCAAACTAACCTTGGGCCTCTCCCTCCCTTCTCTCCCTTATTGAAATCCTCTGGGGATGAGGGACCAAGAATTTTTTTCCCTTGAAAAATGTGGAAAGTTATTAGATCCATGCCCCCATTCCACCCCTACCTTTGTCCTATGGATCTGAGCTCCAAAGGCAAGTGGCCTTACCCAAGGAAGTCAAATTCCTGTAATTCGTCAGCATCACCTCCCGGTACAGCGCCCTCTGAGCTGGAGAAAGGTCAGCCCACTCTGTCTGGCTGAAGTACACGGCCACGTCCTCGAAGGTCACCAGCTCCTACAATGACAGGTTCCTGCTGCCCCCGAGCCAGTCCTCTGGCTCTGGGCCAAAGTGTGGGAGAGAGGGAGCAGAATGGGGGCTGGGAAATGAAGAAGGGTGAAAGACTACAGCCCAGAGTGCTAGTGAACAACTACACCTACAATCACAACGCCAGACACTCCTCTCACACTTGCAGCAGCTGTGACGTGCACACTGATTTACTACCACCAAACACCGCCTCACGTTTACAACAATCTGGAACAGAAAAAGTCTGTGTGAAGACCCTTCCTGAAGCAACCCTCCTCCGGTTGCACAGGCCCTTCCAGTCTTTCACTCTCCACAAGCAGACGATCGGCCTCAAAGGCCCTTCCAATGGTGACATTTCCGGACGGGCCTGCTGCCTGTCCCCACATCACTGGCCTAGTGTGGGTGCGCCCATCTCTCGTGCTCCCTGCACTTACACCACGACCTGCTGTGTTCCCACAGCTCCCTGTTCTACCCCAGGCCTCACCCCCACTCCTGGGGAACATGGCCACAGCTGGTTGAAATGACCCTGTTTCCAGTGTCCTTCATCCGAGGTGTGAACCTTGCCGTATCTCCCTCCCCCGACTGAGCACCTCCAGCAGAGGGGACACAGCGCGGCCCTGAAAGCCTCCCCAAGTCCAGGAGTTCTCCACGGGAAAAGCGTTCCTGATCCTAATGACTGCTAGGCAGCTGCCGAGGCCTGGACACTTCTGTCCCTATGAAAACGCATGCCGGGGCTTGGTTCCCAGTGCAGCAGGGTCGGGAGGCGGGGCCCAGCAGGAAGCGTCTGGGTCATGCAGACAGATCCCTTATGAACGGATGAATGCCTTGCTCACGTGCGTGGTACTGGAGTTGTCACCGCAGGAGTAAAAGGCAAGGCCACCCCTCACGTTCTCTCTGCGTCACACGAGTCACTGCCCGCCCGCTTCTTTCCTCCGAAAGAGGAAGCAGCACGAGGCTCTCACCACTCACATCTGCCAGACCCTGGGCCTCTCAGCCTCCAGGACCGTGAGCTGAAATAAACCCCTCTTCTTCAGGAATCACCCAATCTCGGCGTCCTGCTCTGGCGACAGAAGATGGACGGAGACAGAAGCCCTTCTGGCTTTCTTGTCCCCTCCCAGATCATCTGGCCACTACTAAGCAAAGCTGCCCACGGGCCACAGCTCTGCCTTCCCGGGCAGCACCAAGGCCTGGTCCCTCTCACCTCCTGGTGCCCCCCCTGCTGTGGTAATCCTCCCTTCCCCTCGCTCCAGGGCCTCCTGTCACAGCACTGCCTGGTGACCTCCCAGTGATGCATCTGATGCATCCGAGCCACAAACCAACACTGAGCACACCTCACTCCCTAAACTGGCTCCTTCCCCTGGTGCACAAGAACTGCTCAGGACAAGGAGGAGCGAGTGCTGGTGCCCAGGCATGAGGGTGGCTACTGCTTGTCCTCCTGTCTCAGTCAGCAGCAGCACTTTCCGTGCGGTCCCAGCTAGAAATCTGAATGTCACTCTTGGCTCCCGCCTTGTCATTGCTCAGTACTGACAAAGAAGCTGTAGTCAAGCCCTGCCTCCTTTATCTCCTAAACATTTCCTGAGTCTGACTGCTACTCACCATTGCTGCTTCCCACTGCAGCAGTGCTCCAAGCTCATCCTCCACGTCTACTTTCTGTCCAGCACCCAGACTGATCTTTACAAAATGCCAACCCTCCCTCAACCTGGACAGATCGTCACACAACAGCAAACTGAAATCCGAGACCCTGAGCCAGAGCTCTAGAGGCAGCAACAAGAATAGACACAGGAAATAGCCAAGAGGCTCCGTGACAGAGTCCAAAGAGGGATGGCAGAATCAGAAGGAGAGTCTTACAGAGAAGGAAACAGGACTCCTATGGAATGGACAAAGTGACAAGAAGGAATGAAAAGGAGCAAGTGGCTCAGAAGTCTAACAGTGACCATGACAGTGACGTGACCACACCAGCACCAGGGAGGAAATGCAGGGAGAACTGCAGAAGGTGCAGGGAAGACACAAACATGTCAGCAGTGTGTTGAGACCAGGCTACCAGGCAGGGTGACAGGAAGGGGAGGGAGCACAGATCTGTAACTGCTAGTGGAGATGAGATCACAGCTGCTGAGTTGCAAGATAGAGACGCTCTCAGGAGACAGAGACCCCCCAGGCAGCACTAAGCAGCCCACTAGTCTGCAGAAGGGAAACACACTTGGCAACATGTTTTTTCCTAACCTGGAAACAAGCGGTGTTGTTGCCATCTGACAGAGGCAGTCAGCTGAGGCACAGAGTTAAGCGACTGGCTTAAGGCTGCAATACCACTGAGGGCTGACGGGACACCCAACCGGAAATTGCCACCGGTGCCAAGTGTCCTACTGCATCCATCAACCAGAGGCGCTGACTCTCAGAGAGGCATTTATGTGCCCTTTCTGGACCAGTTTCCCCTCAGTGATCCTGAGACCTCAACTTCCAACTTCTTTGGGGAGGAAAATGGTGCAAGTTCCCTTTTCCTCGTCTTTTTCCTGCTGTCCCTCTGCTGCACTTCCTAAGAACCTTGTGGCCTTGCTGATCCCAACCACCCCACCCTACACTGGGTTCACACATCACCAGGCTGAGCCCCCCATTCTCACAGATCCTGCTGTTGAGGAAGCTGCTTGACCTGGGGACTCTCCAGCCCTCAAGAGCTTCTCAGAGGCCAAGAGGCCAAGAGGCTGGACTTCTGCTTCCCAGGTCACTCTCATTAGTAAGCTCTATCCATCGCTCCCTGGGCCCTGCAGTCTGGCTGCTCAGCCCTCAGCTCTCCCTCCCCAGTATTCTGTCCCACTGGGAGTCTTGCCTCGGGGCTCACTAGAAGAGTCCTCAATACAGCCCAGTGCACGCGCCGCACACACACACACACACTCCCTTTCTTTCAAATCAGATCTCCCTAAGGCTGACCTGAGGGATCCACAGCTGGGCTTTCAGGAGCATGGCTGCTGTCACCTGGGCTCCCTCTCAAGGAGGAGCAGGGGCTGAAAGAAGAAGCAAAGAGAACCAAGTGAGTCCTGCCCAGCCAAGGTCTTTCCTTCCAACTTGCAAACCTGTATCAGCTGCTGGTAAGAACAGCTAGCAGTCCCTGGTGGCTCGCAAGGGCTAGCCTTGGAGCTCAGCACTTTGCACTCATTCAAACGCCAGGAGATGTTTAACACTGTTGTCCTCACCAAGATGAGGCCATGAGACTTGGAAAGTTAAGCAGTTATCTTAGGCTGCTAGACTTGTATTCACAGTCACAAGGGAACATTTTGTTTCCCAAATAAAAAGTATATAAGGCAAAAAAAAAAAAAAAAGTACACAAAAAAGAGCAACAACAGAACGTGCACATACCCTACACACCTGCAGCTTAGGGCCCAGGACAAGCAGATTCAGACTCTAGCAGGTCAGACAACACCCTGGAGCTGCTTGTGGGTTTTCATTTCCTTTACGCACAGTGGCAGTGAGAAATGCACAAGGAACAGCCACTGCCCCCAACGGCACTGGGGCCACGGGAGATGTCCGCCTTTGTGTCCGTGGCAGCAGGTAGACACACACAGAGACACCTGCATACATCCACACACAGCCGCATACAGTCACCCACACACACATAGTCGTGTCTGCATGTTCACATCCAGCCACAGGCAGCCGCGACTCACCATGGCCCCCCGCCCCCGCGCTGCTTATATGGGCTTACAGACAATGGCCCAGAGCCAGGCAGTCACACAACAGCCGTGTGGGCAGCTAGCCAAGCAGGTGGGCCTGCTGGTTGCCATGACACTGGTGCCATAGAGGCACACAGATAAGAGGCATAAGGCGTGGGAACTTGATAACTTTGCTTTCTCACACTTAACACACACACACACTCACGCACAAACGCAGATGAATAAACTCAACAAGAAAGATACTAAACTTATAGAAAAACTGTAAAATACTATGAAAAATATCAGTAAAAGATAAGTCCCTAGATGGAAAAAAATCAGTAATATTTTATAATGTCGACTTTCCCCCAAACTAATCCACAAATCTAATAACTTACTGTTTGTTACTCAGAGCCTGTTATGCTCAGCAGTATGCTAAACACTTCAGGTGAATCTCATTTAAGTCTCAGAACAACCCTTTGTGTGAGTTTTTTTTCCTGCTGTCTCTAAACAGATGAGTAGACCAAAATTAAGAGATGAAGAAACTATCAGGGGCCAGCACTGTGCCACAGTGGGTAAAGCCGCTGCCTGTAGTGCCAGCATCCCATATGGTCGCTGGTCCAAGTCTCGACTACTCAAGTTCCGATCCAGCTCTCTGCTATGGCTTGTGAAAGCAGTAGAAGATGGCCCAAGCACTCGGGCCCCTGCACCCATGTGGGAGACCTGGAAGAAGCTCCTGGCTCCTGGCTTCAGATCAGTGCAGCTCTGGCTGTTGCAGCCAGCTGGGGAGTGAACCAGCAGATAGAAGACCTCTCTCTCTCTGCCTCTCCTTTTCTCTCTGTGTAACTCTTTCAAATAAATAAATAAACCTATAAAAAAAATCCCTTTACTGTGGAAAAACTACCCCTAATTTAAAAAAAAAAGAAAGAAAGAAACTATCAAATTAAGGAGCAGGTATCTGGCACAGCAGTGAAGTCCGTATCAGAGTGTTTCGTTGTTGTTGAAAGTCAAAGTTACACAGGGAGAAGGAGAGGGAGAAAGAGAGGTTCACTCTCCAGATGGCCGCAACGGCTGGAGCTGCACTGATCCGAAGCCAGGAGCCAGGAGGTTCTTCCGGGTCTCACACGCGGGTGCAGGGCCCAAGGACTTGGGCCATCTTCTACTGCTTTCCCGAGCTATAGCAGAGAGCTGGATCAGAAGTGGAGCAGCTGGGACCTGAACTGGTGCCCATATAGGATGCTGGTGCTGCAGGCGGTGGCTTTACCCACTACGCCACAGCACTGCCCCCTCAAAGTGTTTTTGTTGTTGTTGTTGTTGACAGGCAGAGTGGACAGTGAGAGAGAGAGACAGAGAGAAAGGTCTTCCTTTGCCGTTGGTTCACCCTCCAATGGCCGCCTCGGCCAGCGCGCTGTGGCCGGTGTACCGCGCTGATCTGAAGCCAGGAGCCAGGTGCTTCTCCTGGTCTCCCATGGGGTGCAGGGCCCAAGCACTTGGGCCATCCTCCACTGCACTCCCGGGCCATAGCAGAGAGCTGGCCTGGAAGAGGGGCAACCGGAACAGAATCCAGCGCCCCCCGACCGGGACTAGAACCTGGTGTGCCAGCGCCACAAGGCAGAGGATTAGCCTAGCGAGCCGCGGCGCCGGCCCCCTCAAAGTGTTTTAAGTCCCAGCTACTCCACTACCAGCTTCCTTAGAATGTATTTCCTGTGAAGGCAGCAAACGATGGCTCAGGTACTTGGGTTTCTGCTACCCACATGAAAGACCCAGATAGAGTTCTGTGCTCCTGGCTACAGCCTGGCCCTTTCCTGGCTGTTGCAGTCACCTGGGGAGTGAACCACATGGGGCAAGGTTCTCTGTGTGTGTGGTCTCTCCTTGCACCTGTACTGAACATGTGCAGACTTGATTCCATGATACCTATATCTGTCTCTCCTGTACCTCCCTCCCCATTTCCTTCTCTCTCTCCATCTTTCTTTCCTTTGTTGCTCTGCCTTTCGAATAAATCGATATTTTTACAAAACTACTTCTGGGGCTGACCTTGTGGCATTAAATTAAGCTGCTACCTGTGATGCCAGCATCCCATGTGGGCAGCTGTTGGAGACCTGATTGCTCCACTTCCAATCCAGCTCCTTGCTAATGCGCCTGGGAAAGCAGTGGAGGACGGTCCAAGTGCTTGGGTCCCTGTCACCCACAAAGGAGACCTGGAAGAAGCTCCTGGCTTCTGGCTTTGGCCTAACACAGCCCCAGCTATTGCAGCCAATTGGGCAATGTACCAGCAGATGGAAGATCTCTCTCTGCCTCTCCTTCTCTCTCTCTGGAAACAGGTAGGTGGTGATCTAAAAACCCTGCAGAGGCATAATCGTTCCAAACCAACGGGGGAACTACCCTCATCAAGGAAAACCTTAGAAGAACTAAAGAGGCTAAAAAGTGGGCATCTTTACCCAAGAAACCACATTGTAGGCCGGCACCGCGGCTCACTAGGCTAATCCTCCACCTTGCGGCGCTGGCACACTGGGTTCTAGTCCCGGTCAGGGCACCAGTTCTGTCCCGGTTGCCCCTCTTCCAGGCCAGCTCTCTGCTGTGGCCCGGGAGTGCAGTGGAGGATGGCCCAAGTGCTTGGGCCCTGCACCCCATGGGAGACCAGGAGGAAGCACCTGGCTCCTGGCTTCAGATCGGCGCAGCACACCAGCTGTAGAGGCCATTTGAGGGGGCCAATGGAAGGAAGACCTTTCTCTCTGTCTCTCTCTCACTGCCTAACTCTGCCTGTCCAATTAATTAATTAATATATAAACAAGAAAGAAAGAAAGAAATCACATTCTAGAAGAACAGCAGTCCTCACTGATCCAAAGTTTTGCTTTTCTCAGTTCGTTAGCTGTATACAACATATTTCAGAAATAATTTATGAATTTTAAATAACTTTTGGTATGTTATATTGTTTCATTTTATTATTAGTTCCTATTATTAATCTTACTCAGCCTGATTCATAAGTGTGTAAATTAATCGAAGGTATATATGTATAGGAAAAACAGTATGTATAATGTTTGGTACTGCCTGCCGCTTCCGGCACTCACTGGGGTATCACCGAGGCCACTGTAAAAGGCCAAAGGGACTGCAGTGGACCCAAGGGTTAGGGGGAGGCGCAGGACACCAGGCCACGCCTGGCCTTGTGCACGTTATCAACGTCGGTCTTCTGCCACAGCGGAGATATTTCGGGGTGCAGGGGGGACAGGGACAGATCGGATTTGGTTAATTCTGACTTTCCCATGGAGCCGCAAGTTCATGCGTGTCTCAGTTGTATCGCTGAAACTCAGGCGCACTCGCGAGGCACGCATCGCCGAGCCACACCCAGCACCTGCACCCACGCCCACAGTCCCCATTCCGAAAAGGGTCGCAGCAGGGAAGCGAAGGAATCCCAGGGAGTGCGGGTTCCCCAGATCCTCGAGCCCGTCGCCAGGCTCGCTCCCCGGCTCGACCCAGGAGAACAGAACAGCAGCCTCTTCCTGCGGTGCGAGACGCAAACCTTTGCTGCACGAACCGAAGCCGCCGACGCCACACTCACCTGCAGCGGCGAGCGGCGCGACGCTCCGGAAGTGCGTCACCGCTGGGCGCCACGCGCTGGCGCGGCCGCTTGCTTTCCTCGGCGATGCAGGAGGTCTTTCTAGGGCCATCTAATTTTCTCCGCAGGCATTTCGTAGGACATTGCTTTCTGTCCGCGGCGCCTTTGGTGGCCCTGCTGTTCAGCCTTCGGACGGAGCAGAGGAAGCAAAAGGCCTACCTGGATGAGTTCCAGCGCTTTGTGTGTCTCTTTTTCGACTGCACTCCAGTTGTCTCTGTCCACTGGATCGGGTTGTTATTTCCTTGTCCATGGACCTAGTGACAATTGTAGGGTAAAGAATGAGTTTCAGGGGCCGCCGCTGTGGAGTAGGTTAAACTTCCGCCTGAGGCGCCGGCATCGCATATAGGTCCCGGCTGCTCCTTTTCCGATCCAGTTCCCGGCCAATGTGCTTAGGAAAGCAGAGGAAGATGACGCCTGCACATGAGTGGGAGACCTGAAAGAAGCTCCAGGCTTCAGGTCAGCTCAGATCCGGCCGTTGCGACCATCTGGGGAGTGAACCAGAAGATGTAGAACCTTTCTCTCTGTAACTCTACCCCTCAAATAGGTAAATAAATGTTTTAATTTTTATTTTATTTATTTGAAAGAGTTACAGAGAGAGGTAGAGACAGAGAGAGGTCTTCCATCCGCTGGTTCACTCCCCCGATGGCTGCAATGGCCGGAGCTGCGTAGATCCAAAGCCAGGAGCCAGGAGATTGTTCCGGGTCTCCCACGTGGGTGCAGGGGCCCAAGGACTTGGGCCATCTTGTACTGCTTTCACAGGCCATAGCAAAGAGCTGGATCGGAAGAGGAGCAGCCAGAATTCGAACCAGTGCCCATATGGGATGCCGGCGCTTCAGGCCAGGACTTTAACCCACTGAGCCACAGCGACAGCCCCAATAAAATCTTTAAAAAAAAATGAGGAAGAAAGAAGGCAGCAGAAATAATAATAGATTTCAGCTTTGTCCCAGAGCCAAGAGGAATGTATTGTAAGGGGTCCAGTCACAACGATGAAGAGCTGAATCCAGGCAGTGCCTCTCACAAACTCTCTGATGGGAATGGACTGCACCTGTAGACAGACTCGATCGCATCTGTGTGACCCCCCCTTAGCATCTACGCAGCCTTTTGGGTGGCACCTCTCTAGAAGTCTATCTCCACGTATTCTCCCCCCCCCCTTTTTTTAAGGAATTATTTTATTTATTTGAAAGACAGAGTTATGGGCCGGCGCCGCAGCTCAATTGGCTAATCCTGCGCCTGCAGCGCTGGCACCCTGGGTTCTAGTCCCGGTTGGGGCGCTGGTTCTGTCCCGGTTGCTCCCTTTCCAGTCCAGCTCTCTGCTGTGGCCAGGGAGTGCAGTGGAGGATGGCCCAAGTGCTTGGGCCCTGCACCCACATGGGAGACCAGGAGGAGGCACCTGGTTCCTGGCTTCGGATTGGTGCTATGCGCTGGCCGTAGCAGCCATTTGTGGGGTGAACCAACGGAAGGAAGACCTTTCTCTCTGTCTCTCTCTCACTGCCTAACTCTGCCTGTCAAAAATAAAAATAAATAAATAAATAAAGAGTTACAGAGAGAGGTAGAGCCAGAGAGAGAGAGAAGTCTTCCAGTCCGCTGGTTCACTCCCCAAATGACTGCAACGGTCAGAGCTGATCTGATCCAAAGCCAGGAGCCAGGAGCCTCTTCCTGGGTTTCCCACGTGGGTGCAGGAGCCCAAGGACTTGGGCCATCTTCTACTGCTTTCCCAGGACACAGCAGAGAGCTGAATCAGAAGTGGAGCAGCCAGGACTTGAACTGGCGCCCACATGGGATGCGGCACCACAGGCTGGAGCTTTAACTCCTGTGCCACAGTGCCACGCCTTCTTCCTTTTCCTCACACAGGCTTAGCTTGCAGAGTGCTCCATAATTGCCAGGGTTTACTCTGCCTCAGTGGCTTTTGCTTGACAAAGAACAAAATGTTTGGAGACTCCACTTTCTTCACATCAGGATCATTCCATCTTTCTATCGAGGAAACTGAGTCCTGGAAATATAAGGCATATCTGAAATCTCACAGTGATGGAGGAGGCTTCCTGCCCACCTTTGTACCAAGACCCTGGCTTTTGTCTCTGTCCCCACTACTTCAACTCAGCTACGGAGGGCCTTAACATCTCTTGGCACTCTGCACAAAGC